CACTTTGTTTCCAATTAAAAAAATAAATTTATTTATTTGTTTTTATTTTTGGCTGTGTTGGGTTTTCATTGCTGTGTGCGGGCTTTCTCTAGTTGTGGTGAGTGGGGGCTACTCTTCGTTACAGTGCGCGGGCTTCTCATTGCACTGGCTTCTCTTGTTGCAGAGCATGGGCTCTAGGCGCACGGGCTTCAGTAGTTGTGGCTCGCGGGCTCAGTTGCTCCATAGCATATGAGATCTTCCTGGGCCAGGGCTCGAATCCGTGTCCCCTGCATTGGCAGGCAGATTCTTAACCACTGTGCCACCAGGGAAGCCCTTTGTTTCCAATTTTTATTGTTGTTATTTAGTTTCCTCCTCTAAGTATGAGAAATTAATAACAGATATATCATGTAAACTGCTTTAAAGAGATATACAGTTGACCCTTGAACAACATGGGTTTGAACTGCAGATTATATGCAGAGTTTTTTCAGTAAATATAGTACCTGTGTTTTAATTTTACAGACCTTTAAATTAACTAAGTGTGGGGGGAAGTTTGTGTGGCAGGCTGGGAGCATCAGCAGTGTTTAGCTGGAGTAGGGAGTAGGTCCGATATTGTCAGAAAGGTTTCTGATCTCTCCCTTTCACTGACCTTTGCTTAAAATAGGTTTTTCTTGAGACTTTTTTTTTCTTTCTTCTGTGAGTGTTGGTGGTTCTGGATTGCAGGCTTCACCAGAGACGAGTGTGGGATATTGTGAAGATAAAAAGAAAACCCGGGGAACGTACCACAGAGTTGTTCCTCAAATTCTGAGGTCCTTAGCCAGTCCATTTTCCTCCTTCCACTTTTCAGAATTCTCTTAACCTTGTCTGTTATATCCAGGGTTTGTAGTTATACTTTGCAGGTAAGATTATGAGAAATGAGAAGAGACATGAGTCTAGGCCATCTTGTTTGGAAACAGAAGTGCTTGTTCATGCATGTATTTTTGATTTCTGTTTTAGGTGCAAACACATTAGGATTGTTAAGTCTTCTTGGTGACTTGACCGCTTTCTGTAATTTCCCTCTTTGTCCCTGAAAACATTCATTGCTCTGGAGTCTCTTGCGCCTCATATTAATATAGCTATTTCAGATTTCTTTTCATTGGTATTTACAGGATACATCGCTTTCCGTTCTTTGTTTTGAACCTATTTTGAATCTATGTCTTTTATTTAAAATGGGTTATTTGTTGACAGTATATTGTTTGGTTTTTCTTTTTTAATCCAGTCTGCATTCTCTGTCTCTTATTAGTGCCTTTAGACCATTTACATTTGATGTAGTTGGCTTTTGACTTAACATCTTGCTAGTTGTTTTGTTTGTTCCATCTGCTTTTTGTTCCTTCTAGCCTTTTTTTTTAAATATCTTGGATTAATTGAGTATTTTAAAAATTATATTTCATTTCTACTATTGACTTATTATTGTACCTCTTTTTCAAAATTTTAGTGTTTGCCTTAGGGTTTACAGTATACACCTTTAATTAGTCACAGTCTACCTTCAGATAATAAACTGCTTTGCTTGTAGTATAAGAACCTTATACAACAGTTTACTCCCAGTCCCTAATTCTTTGTGCTGTTGTTGTCATGCTGTTAACACAATGCATTGCTATTGTTTTTCCTTTAAACAGACAATTATCTTTTATAGTAGTTAAAAATAAGAAAAGTATATTTCATATTTACCTTCATTTTTACCATTTCTAACACTTTGTTTCTTCTTACAGAGATGAATTTCTGGTTTTAAATTTCTTTTGCTTGAAGAAATTCCTTTAACACTTTTTTTGGTACAGATCTGCTAATAATATCTTCTGTCAGTTTTTGTTTGTCTCAGAAAGTCTTCATTTCTCTTTCACTTTTGAAAAATATTGCCCTTGATATAGAATTCTGGGTTGGTAGGTTTTTTCCCCAACACTTTAAATTCTTCATTCTGTTGTCTTCTGGATTGACTAGTTTTTGATGAGCAGTGATGTAATACATGACTTTTATTGGAGTGGTATATACCCCTTTTTCTCACTGGCTTCAAGATTTTCTTTGTGTGTCTATGTGTAGGTATATTATTGCGTTTTTGTTTTGTTATTTATTCTGCTTGATATTCTTCAAGCTTCTTGCATTTGTGGTTTGACATCTTTCATTATATTTAGTAAATTCTGGCCATTAGATCTTCAAATATTTTCTCTCCCTTTTTTCTTCTTCTGGGATTTCTATTACGTGTATGTTAGGGCTTTTGATATTGTCTCACAGCTCTTAGTTGCTCTATTCTGGTTTTTTTGTGGTTTTTTTCCCCCTTTTTCTCTATTTCTGTTTGGGTAATACCATCGATCCCATTTTTAAGTTCACCTATTCTTTCCTTAGCTGGGTCAAGTTATCTCTGCTAACGTTTTTTTATTTCTAACACTTCTGTTTTATTTTTCTTGATGATTTCATCTCTCTCGTGAAATGCCCCATCTGTTCCTGCATGTTGTTCATCTTTTCCACTAGATGTAGCATATTAATCGTAGTTATTTTAAATTCCATGTCTGGTAGTTGTAACATCTGGGCAACTGATATCTGAGTTTGGTTTTGTTATTGTTGTTTGTTTGCCTGCTTGTTCATGTATCTTGTAAATTTTGGTTGAAAACCAGACTTAATACGTGAGACTCTAAATGCTGAAGTAAATAGTATGAATGACTAAAAAATGGACTTGTCTCCTCTTCTGCTAGGACTTCACTGTGTGTGGTTGATTGGTTTGGATTTTGTTGTTGCTGTGGTTGTCCTCGGTTGACCACCACTTTCATATTCCTTGTGCTTTTTAGGTCGGTGCCTGAGCTACCAGAAGTTTGTTTGTTTGTTTTTAAAATGTACCTGTATCACTCGCACTTAGGTTTTCCCTGTGAACCTGTGCCTTGAGGAGTCTTTCCATGCTCACTTCTCTCCCAGTGGCTGATGACAGTTACCTGTCACTTGGAGTGTCCTGGCTCCGTGGTAGGGAACATGAGGGTTGTTCTCTGTTATTCTAGCTTAGCCTCTGTCTTAGGCAGGCCCTTGATTCTGGGTCTCACAGGTGGGTCTCTCTCAGTGGTTCTTTGCCTCCCCAGGTGGCAAGGGTCCTCTGGTGGTCTGGGCCCAGGGCAGTTTCCTGACCCCTCTGCCGGAGTAGAGGGTTTTGTTTGTTTACATTTTCTCTGTTTACCTGTGCTCTGGGGACTTCAGTTTTGCTGACCTTCCCTCAGTGGCTTAATGCTTTTGTTTCCTAGGGTTAAAGATCTGATGGGGCTTCATGTCCTTCCTGCACTGGGGGCTGTTCTTTCCCAAGCCTGTATCCGGAGGGATACTTTTTCTGATTTCTCATCCTTCCCCCAGTAGTTCTTGAGGGTATCCAGTAAGGTCTATAGAAAACCTTGGAATAGGTGTGAGTCCCCTTGTGTCTAAGATTCCCAGGATTTTTATATTTTCATGGTGGTTCACCCTTGGCCTTTTGCAATTCATCAAAAAGTTTATCTGAGGGACTTTCCTGGCGGTCCAGTGGTTAAGACTATGCACTTCCACTTCAGGGAGCGCGGGTTCGATCCCTGGTCTGGGAACTAAGATCTCGCATGCCTTGCTGTGCGGCCAAAAAAAAAAAGTTTATCTGAAACCTTCTTACCCAGCGGTAGGATAATCCTTGTTTTCTTATGTCAACCAGTACTTGTGACCCCTCTCTTCTCTAAGGCACATGACTTTCCTTAGATTTCAGGCTAGTTGGTTTCCCTGTGACGTTAGTTCTGTTGGATTCGAGTAAAGTTACAGTTTTATAGGTTATCCAGCCTTTTCTCATTGTTAGGGTGAAAATGACACTATATCCAGCTCTTTACATCGCAAACAGAATCAGAAGTCTCCCCGAAAGATTTAAGCCCCTAAATTGCATCTAATCCTAGTACAGTTTCCTTAATACCTTAGAAGAGAGTATGCCAGATGTTCTCTAACTTGAGTGATACTTGGGTTAGTGGACTGGGTAGAATGCAAGTGGTCCCTTTGCTTTCCTGTTATACTGTGATTCACAGAGGGAGAGATTGTTTACATTGTTTCTACTGGTCTTATGATATTAGGGAGGCAAGAGGTACCTCTCAGTGCTTGAAAAACAAACTTTGAAATGAGGTAATTGCATTCTTAAATGATCCTCTCGAGGACTGTCAGTTTTGTAAAAAACTTTTTAATAGAGATTATTTATAAGTTCTATAGAATTTCAATTCTTACGGTGAAGAATATGGTGATTTCCCCTATTTACCTGTTACCTGACTCAAACAGTTGTCAACTCATGCCTAATCGCCTGTTGTCTGTCATTTACATCCCTTCATGGATTATTTTGAAGCAAATTCTAGATATAGTATCTTTTTATGTATAAATGTGTGTAAGGGATTGTAGTTTTTTCCCCCTATACTATATGTATATTTTAGTCTTAATATGTTGGCCTATTAGGCAGAAGGATAGCATTGGCAAATTTCATGCTATTTGCATTCAAAGGTATTTATATATGAGATGGAGTGTATTTCAGATCTCTTTGATGTATGTGATTGGTAAATACACCTACTGACAAAAATTCTGGAGTCAAGGCCATCTACCCCCAGCATTCGTAGACCTTTGTCTTTCCTTGCAAAGTAGACTGTTGTAACATTTTGTACATTGGAGTTTCAGTGGATATTCCCTAAGAATAGAATTCACTCTAACATTAATTTTCATATTCCATTGGAACTCTTGTTTATACCTGTATCCTCAAAGGAAAGAGCAAAATGACTTTGCTGTACTCTTCCAGTTATATTTTAAACTGTAATTGCATGTGTAAAAGTTAAGTGTTTTAACTCTGTGTGATTTTTTTTTAACCCTTTTATTTTGAAATGACTTTAGACTTACAGAAAAATTACAAAGACAGGACAGGGAGTTCATGTATACCCATCGTCCAGCTTCAGTGTTAAGAGTTTATATAACCAGGGTACATTGAGCAACACCATGTAATTAATATTGGCTATATGCCCTTATTTTAACAGCTGCTGAAATAGTTCAAGAAATTGAAAATATGGAGAAGACTAGGATGCGTCTTGAAGCTAGTAAACTCAACGAAAGCGTATGTTGGTGGTCTTTTTCAGTATCTCGGTAGAAATGAAGGAAGGAAAAGTCGAATACCCTACAAATTAAAGCAAACCAGTGTTGAATCTGTTCAGTGGGAAATGTACTAGAACACATTTCCATATAATGTATTATGATTTACTTGCAGCTCATTTTAGCATTTTTATCATATTTAGAAGTCTTCTGGCACAAGATCAATCCAAAGTAGAGTTTATTGATGAATTACAGTTTTATGGAAAAAACCATGTGCCCGTACATCAGGTAACCTTGGTATTGGTCCTTTTTCTGGTGGTTGCATTTAATAAGTTCTTTAACATTTAACCTCTGTGGCCCTTAAGATCTTCATCTGTAAAACTCAGGGGGTTAACTATATCATCTCTAAGATCCCCTTTTAGCTCTGGCATTCTGCAATTCTATGGTTATACTGATGGTGAAATTAAGTAATTTTAAGAGTTGATGAGGATTGAGCATCTATTGAGCTTACTGAGGGAATCAGAGACCTAAATTTCTTCACTGTTGCCTTCCTCTAGCTTGATGGTCCAAAACTTGAGGAAAGGATACCAAAGAAGAAAATAGCCATTGTGTCCTTTGACACTGGAGGAAGTGTTTTGGGCTCTCCCAAGTAGACTTTTTTTCTAGACCATCGGTAATGTGTTTGTAAGGAAAGCAACAACCTTAGGGAAGTAAGTTTATAATCAGATAGTAGAAAAAAATGAGGTTTTCATTGACTTTACTATTACCTGTGTGCTAACTATAAGATGGAGACTATAATGAATCGTGTAAGTACATTTCAGATCTTTTAAGTCTAAAATTTTAAAAAGTGAATTAGAAATTTCACACGTGAAGTCTTGTATTATTGCATTTTCTCTGTATACCTTTGTGTAGACTTGGAAAAGTTAGGCTGGAAAAGGTAGAAGACAAACAAGAAGATCTGCCTTGTTAATGATCTGCTAAATGTCGCTTTAGTCTTGTAGTTTTATGTTACCTATTGTAGTAATGAATGTGGAAAATTAAATATTGAAAGTAGGCAACTTAATTGATTGTTGTCTTAATACTTCATAAATTCTAATGGAATCAGTGTTGCGTTTTCTACTGATGAAAAAAAGTAATGAGTAAAATGTATGTTAATTACAATATTCAAGAGAAGTAAACAGGAGTTAATCTTCCTAAGTCTATATAAAACAGACATGAGAGATTATTTTCCTCTATTTTAAACATCCCCATTTGAGATTTTAAAGTTTATAGTACTAATTTCTATTTTTTGTCATTTTTGGTAATTTTTAATTAAGAATTTTTGGATTTTTTAGATAATGGTTTTTACAAAGGACCAAACAGAAAAGGAAATAGATGAAATTCACAGTAACTATCGTAAGTTATGTGATGTTTTCTTTGTTTACAAAGAACTTGGGTTACAGTTTTTCATCTTAAGTATTTTTATATTAATGTTTAATACAAACTTTCTTGTTAATATTACTTAAGAGACTGAATTTTGGTTGAGTGTTTACTCAAGACAGTGACCTTTTTTTGTAACTGTGTGTGCTCTTTGATTTGTGACTAACATTCTACTTTGAGCTTATCACTAAGCACTTTGCAAATATTAATTAGTTGCTCTCAAAGCATCTCTGTGAGAAGAAAATGGGATTAAAATGGAAACATTCCTGACTTGCCATCCTGTCCTCAGGCCAGTGACAGTATTTATGTAAAGAATTTCAGCACTCTGTAGCTTGCATATTTATGCTGAAGATGGTTTTCATTTTATTCATTATTACCAGCTTCCCAACTTTATCGCTTCATTTTCCTTAAATGACCTTTATATGTATCTTTCTCAGTGCTAGCACATTACTGTTTTGTCAATTAGATAGCTGCTTATTCTTTGGCTGGTTGGTTGGTTTTTAGTTTAAGTTTAAATTTAAGTGCCTGGCAAACAGTAGATAGTTAATATTTGCTGAAAGAATATTCCACACACGATATGCCTTAGTTGTGCCAAAAGAATTGTGTTTTCTTTTTTCACTTCTTAAGCTTTGAAGGGGCAGATACAGCTGTGATCTGTGTGGGGCGGGAGGATGAAGTACACAGGCACTAGATGTAGTTGTGATGGCCCCAGCCTTCTCAGAGTAGGGAAAGGAGGCTGGAGGATTCACGGACCAGAGGCTGAACCACAAAAGTTACAGCGCTGGTGCTCTAAAGACAGACAGATGTGATCGATCCTCTTTGATCAACCTTTGGGAAGCCAAAGTAATTTTTCTTGATACAGGAGCTAGGGAATATCAGATGATCACTGAAGTGGCAAAGCTAAAGCCTGTAACAACAAGGAAACCAGAAAATTTGCATGGAACAAAAATAATTTAAATCACTAAAGGGTGGTATCTAACAATTATGCTACACTAAAGAAAACGTGGGTTAGATATAGGCAAGAAAATATACAAATATCTATTGCCCACCATTTAAATATCTTTAAAAACTTTAATTTTACTAAATAGGTCAACATATTAAATTAATTCATTTAGCTCTAAAATAAACCTTGGTATATACTTTTTTTTTTTAAACCTTTTGGGCACTTCCTAAAGCTCAAGCACTTATTATTAACATTATAGTGTAGTTGCAGTTTGATTTAGTATCAGGATCTAAATATACCATTGATGGTTCTTCTGTTTTTTAAACCTTTTAATTAATGTTTTAATGTACGTGAGTTTTTAATTTTTTTAATTTACTTTTTGGCTGTGTGGGGTCTTTGTTGCTGCACGCAGGCTTTCTCTAGTTGCGGAGAGCAGGGGCTACTCTTCGTTGCGGTGCACGGCCTTCTCATTTTGGTGGCTTCTCTTGTTGTGGAGCACGGGCTGTAGGCACGTGGGCTTCAGTAGTTGTGGCACACGGGCTCAGTAGTTGTGGCTCGCGGGCTCTAGAGTGCAGGCTCAGTAGTTGTGGTGCACGGGCTTAGTTGCTCCGTGGCTTGTGAGATCTTCCCGGACCAGGGCTCGAACCCGTGTCTCCTGCATTGGCAGGCGGATTCTCAACCACTGCGCCACCAGGGAAGCCCATGTATGTGGTTTTTAAGCACATTTCTCTAAGGCTTATTAAAAACTGACTCCTCGCCACCTCCTTGTCTCCGTCTTCATTTCCTAGAATTAACAACTGTCAAATCTTTTGGCTTTTGTTTTAGTAATTACCTTCATGTTTATAAAAGATTATTCTTTCTGCTATTTCTTGAAGTGTTTCAGTTTTCCATGTTAACAATTGATTGAAGTCCTAATTTGAAAAATGAAAATTTAGCTCTTTTGTACATCCTGACTCTTACCTTCTCCTCCCTCCCAATTTCTGAATATTGTCATAATTTTTTATAAGGTCAGTATTAGTTAGAGACATTGTATACAGTTTGAACCGGGCAACATACAATACTCTGGTTATGAAGTGTGTCAGAGTATGCCACCACCCAAGAATATGCCACCATGACATGTTGCTTTGAGCAGAAGGCAATTGAGAAGCAGCAGAAAGGAAAGCTCTCTGCCTTCCCCCATTTGCCTAAGTGTAGGACACAGTTACAAAGGTGTCTGTCCCTCCTCCCCTCTCTATCCCTAGAAGTAAGTTAGTCTTTCCTGTTGACGGAGAAGGCTCTGACTTAAATCAGCATAGCAGACTTCACTCTTGTTTACTGTGTTTTTCCTGGCCATCTCCCCATAACTGGCCTCCCACACACCTTTCTTTTTTTTTTTTTTTTTTTAATCTAGCTGAAGATGGTATTTAAGCCAGTGTTCTAAGTCACCTCCAAGTGGTTTAGAGTTACTTATTTTTCTCTGGGTATCTTCCATATATACATGAGGTATACATGTTAAAAAACATCTGTTTGTTTTTCTCATGTAAATTTGTCTTTTGTTATAAAGCCCCAGCTAAGAACTAAGAAGGTTAGAAGGGAGATTATTTTTCTGCCCTTACAGTTGTAATTCCTTTTAGGAAAACATTCTGTTTTCTCTATAATTAGTAATTTTATTTGCTTAGTTTTCTATTTATCTGATATTAATTTATCTGTAAACTTTCCATGAGAAATGTCAGTGACTTCCTATTTACATTGAAACTCATAGATTATTTATCAACTCACTGTTTTCTCCAGAGCATCTTACCTGAAGCAGCCCCCAGCCCTTTTCCAGGCTACTGTGACCGTGCTTTGGGCCTCCTTCATAGCTACCCTGGAATTTCCTTTCACCAGCCTTCTGGGTATTCTCTCCTCCCTCCTGTGTCAGTTCACCTATTTCAGGATCCAAATCTGCCTCTTCTTTTTCCTTGTTTTGGTGGAATACATTTTTCCAGGCAAGTCTCTCGGGGAAAAAAAGGGTATATGGAGGAATACTTTTTGAGTCCATACATAGCTGGAAATATTACTTTTACTATTGACTTATTATTTGGCGTAGATAAATTGCCCACATAGCTAGTAAAAAGCAGGACTGGAAATTAAACCCACATTCATCCCATGCTCAATTTGAAGCCCTTTGCACTGTAGCATGCTTTGAATCTGAGTGAATAGCTTGTATGTTGAGAACTTCTTTTGAGTGGGGGTGGGGGTGCGCTAAGCTTTAGTTTCAGGTTATCTTGCTTAAAAAAAAGCTTAATTTTATGAATGAGTTACTTTGGTAGTTTTGTGATGATATATCTTTCTTATTTTCTTTAGCAGTCTTTTGGATAGATTTATCTTCACGAGTCCCTCTTTTAGAAGAGGAGAGAAACAGTGAAATCAATTTGAGGCTTAGTTGCAGATCTGTAGAAAGTGTATTTGATACAGAGTTGAATCAAATGAGTTTATTGAGTTACCTGTGGGTTTCAGGTTGCAAATGCTTTTGGTAGGTCGTCTTAATTAAGACTGAATTGCTCCAGTAAGAGGCGGAATCTTAGCCTGAAGGAAGTTACTCTACTTGCCTAACTGCCATGACAGACATATTTTGGGGATCTTCACGCTCTTCACCTTGGTAAAATATAGTTTTATACGCTGCCAAGAAAAAAAAGACAAACCTCCAGTGAACACTCCGGGATTACCTCCTGTAACTTTTCCTGAGAGCACCAGCTTAATCCTGTTAAGTAGGCAAGGCATTTTAGCTTAATATGTTCCTTTGTTTTTTTAATTTGGTTGTTCACTAATTCAGTAAATGTTTATTGAGCATCTGCTATGTGCTAGCTGTTCTTCTAGGTAGTGAGTATAGAGCAGTGAGCAAGACACATAAATTTCTCGTCATGGAGCTTATATTCTAATAGCAGACGGATAAATAACAGTAAATCAGCAGATGACTGTAACAGTTTTAGGTGGCAGATGCTATAAAGAAAATAAAGCAGAGTAATTTATAGAAATTATGGGGACATTAGATAATGTAGTCAAGAAAAGGTTTTTCTTGAGGAGTTGACATTTGAGATGAGTCATAAGTAAAAAAAAAATCGAAATGGGCTTCCCTGGTGGCACAGTGGTTGAGAATCTGCCTGCCAATGCAGGGGACACGGGTTTGAGCCCTGGTCTGGGAAGATCCCACATGCCACGGAGCAACTAGGCCCGTGAGCCACAACTACTGAGCCTGCGCATCTGGAGCTTGTGCTCTGCGACAGTGAGAGGCCCGCGCACCACGATGAAGAGTGGCCCCTGCTTGCCGCAACTAGAGAAAGCCCTCGTGCAGAAACGAAGACCCAACACAGCCAAAAAATAAAATTAAATAAATAAAAAATGACGTAAAATTACAAAAAACAAAACAAAACAATATTGCTAGCGGAACTTCCCTGGTGGCGCAGTGGTTAAGACTCCGCGCTCCTAATGCAGGGGGCTTGGGTTTGATCCCCGGTCAGGCGCAGACAAAAAAAAAAAAAAAAAAAATTGAAATGAAAATAAAGGCAGCCATTCACAGAGCCGGAGGAAGAGTATTGCAGGCAGAGGGAGCATCAGGGGCAGAGGTGCTGAGGTAGACACAGCGTCGGCGGGTGTGAGTAGAGTGTAGTAAGCGAAGCGGAAGAGTGGTGTACAGGGAGGCAGGGCCAGGTCCCGGAAGGAAAGACCTTGTAAGAGTGTACTGGGCTTTATTCTTCCTGCAGTGGGAAGTCATTGGAGAGTTTAGAAAGACAAGTAATACGATTTTACTTATGTCTAAAAAGATGGCATCTGCTGAATAGAGAATAAATTGTAAGGTGGCAAGAAATAGTAAGAAAACTAACCGAAAGGCTCTTCACGCAGGCCACATTTATGGATCACCCAGACAGTATTCTAGGTATTGGGAATATAACATTAAAGAAACAGACCAAGTCTCTGCCCACATGGAGCTTACACTGTATTGGGAATAGTCAGACAGTAAGCAAACGAGTAAGGTGTGTCAGATAGTGATACATGCTATGAAGAGACTTAAGGT